CCTACATCACCAATGGCCTCTGACATGATAAACCTTTCTGTTTGCTTGGTTATGCTCTAGCATAAATGGCTGTTAATGAAACCCCAGGATTTCAGCTTAGCACCTAACCACTGAAATCATGGCAGAAACTGAGAAATAGGAAGTATGTGGCTACTGTCTAAAGGAGCCTCTGGAAGAACTGGAGATGTGAGTGAGTAGTGGATGATTTTTCCTAGAATAACTGGGAAAGTCTTTTCATATCTAAAGTAGCTCTTGTCTCCTGTATCATGTTCATCATCAGGGTGTGCTGTGAGGGGTTTTTTAAGCAGATGATTCAGTGTAAATAACTAGGGTGGCAAGATTGCAGGAGGAAGCATTAGGCTAATGACAGCCAAAGCAGATTCCTCCTGGCAGTGGTATGAAAAATATTAACAAGGAGCCAATGCTGCTCATTGGTACATAATCCTGAATCAGCATTACCCCTTCTGATCCAAAAAGACAGCCAAATGTTTGAGATCCTTCTGCTTTTTCCAGAGAGAAGAAACTCACAAAGGACCCAGACATTTCTTATTAAATGCATGAGACTGTGTCAACTGAAGTATTGACTTCTCCCTAAATTCTATGGGACTCACATAAGAGTGGGGATTTTTATTCTGCCCACACAGACACATACAAAATATCATTACCTTATCTTGTGTTATCCAATCAAAAGATCTGAAACTCTAGATCAACACTGCCTGAAGTAAAGGCCTTAGAAACAGCAGAGTGAATCAAGGTTTTGCAACAACTCAGCCAGCCACCTTCTAAACACATTCCACCTAATTTCAGCTGCCTATCCTTTGGGAGCCAAAGCTGCTTTCCCAGTGTCAACAGAGCAATCTGTGCATCTCTGATGGGCATTCCACCCACCTAAAATATGATAACTTTCTCTCAAAGAAACACTCCTACCCTTAACATTCGCAATAAGCACCTGGTCTTCAAGGTACAGTTTTTGTTTAGCTTTTCGATGAGGATTTATACTCCTGGGTTAGTCTCTATTGTTCCAGCTGTAAAGTAACTACAGCCTTCTTGTACACAGGCCGAAAATAAATTACTTGTTTCCATGGATGTTTAATAATACCCACTTCATTTTTTTTTTTTTTTTTTTTTTTTTACAGTATTTTGAACTCTAAAGCTCATGAAATCTATAAATGGACATAGCAAATTCAGGAATGAGCATGAGGATCCAGTCTCATTTAGGTCTGCAAGAAGAAATGTTTGGATGAACCTGCAAATGTCTCTAGAAGCAAATTTACTGGCTAAATTACTGGATTATCATATTCTAACATATAATTCAAACGGTATTTTTTATGGAGCAACTGTAAATTCTGAAAGCATAGCCAGCATCCATATCCAACAATACACATTAAGCTCAAGAGAAGCAGGGACAAGCCTTTGACACTGACGCAAGGGCAAAGCAGCCCTGCAGCACAGCATACACTCGTTATTCCTCAGTGTCATCGTTCTCATGGTAATAGAGAGCCAGAGGCTTGTATTGCCCCAGGTGTCTACCAATCCCAGCTCCCCCACTCCCAGAGGAAAAGCCCTTTACATGGTACTTCTCTTCCTCACACCATTATTATACTTGCCAGGATCTGCAAACTGGCAGAAGCAGCAGAGTAGTTTTGAAAATAAGGACAATTGTGGTTTAATATGTCATATTCTATACATGAAATTGTATCATTTTATACAAATATGTATCTGTTTCCTATAGGCCCTCTTCTGCATTATCCTCAGGAACTAAAAAGCCATAGTCCACACCACAGAATATCCTCCCACTGTAACATTTAAGAAGTTTTCACAGATGAAGCCAGATTGTGCATGTCTCCAACCACACATCCGACTCTATCTGTAAACCAAGCCACACTGCTGAATACCAGCAAGCCCTCTGTATCCACATGAGGAATCACACCCAGAACAACCGGTGTACACAAGGCAGTCTAAGCTTTAAAACATGTAAAGAAATATGTGATATTTTTGCCTCTGTTCATTAATATGAAACAGCAATATTTAAGCAAACAAAAGCAGTCTTAACTCCATTGCCTCTGACACCCAGTGCCAGTTTCTACAGGTTTAGAGACACACTTTATGAATATGTTTTACCTTTTACAAGAAAAGGGTAGTAGACTGTAAGTGCTGATAAATATCCAAAGTAACTTCAAGATAAAAAGATGAAGAATAACATTTTCCAATACTATGCACTACTTAGAGTAACAAGGTTTAAAAATAAGTAAATAACTTTAAACCTACCTACCCTTCTTTAAATGTAGAATATGAGAATTTTGAAGGTTTTTACTTCTATATGAAGTTGTATTTACCTTCCCCACTGCCCAATCAACATTGTTTCACTCTATACCACAGACCAAGTTTATGTAGGAAAACCCAATTTAAACCCAAAAATTCTTTCATCTAAAATATTAGGAAAGCGTGATTTTGAGAAGTATCCACACTTTTCAGCTACCTTTTTCAGTTACCAACAATTACTGTTGAATGCTGAGGAAACTAACTTGGACCCTAGAGGATAAATTCTACAGAAGAGCTGAAACCAGCATTTACCAAGGAATTGAAAGTTTTATTTCATTAATACATCACAGGAGAAACAAAAGCAGATCTGGGCTGTAAGTGTTCAAGTTATAGTCGAACATGAAAACTGACTTTCTAAGATGCTCCTTACTTTCTCCAATCTCTGGGCTGGAACATAAGTGTCCATGTTATAACCACCATTTAGTACCATTATGTTCACCTTTCACTGTATTTTATCAGCCTCAAAGACTAGAAAACACCTTCTGCTACTGTTCAGTTCTGGTTAATCCACTTACAGCCAAATTCTTTTACATAGCACATTTCTGGTCAGTATTACACTACTTTGGGCAATTATTTCAGACAGTTTGTTGTAAACAAGCCAGACCAGAAAGCTGCCTTTTGGTCCCATAAAGGTAGCAGCTGAATGGAGAAAAGCAAAAATTAAAAGGATCTCAGTAGTGGTGGAACAAGAGAGAGCAGGCAAGTGACAAAACACTGATTGAAAATTCAGATGTGCAAAGGAATCAAGGTGAAGATTACAAGGGTAGAGGGGAAAACAAACAGAATGAGCAAAAGGAACTGTCGGCCAAAATTCCCATGACCTGCCCTGCCAGAAGGCTGTAATCCAGAACAACAGGATACACTGCTTAATTACAGTTGTTAAAACATAGTCTAACTACTTACTCTTACAGTAGAACAGAATTATATACATACATACATGCCACCCTTGATGTGAGGCATGTGAACACGCCACATTTCCAAACTGGAAAATTAACACAAGTCATCACTTCTTCCTGTTCACTGGGAGAGGAATTATGAGCTTCTCTATGTGTAAAGACAAAAGGGGTCTGGAGCTACTGAGATACCACATACATAAAATACCGCTCTCACATCTACTCACAGCAGGATGCATTTTGAAAAGGCCCCAAGAGAACTCCAAAGAAGGGTATGGGTTTGCAGGTACAGCTATTGCATTCAGGGAGGGAAGTGGCAGTTCTAGCTTATGGCTGAGTTGCAGGAGAGGGAAAGTTAATCAGAACCAGCAGCTACTAAGCAAAGCTTCAAAGCAATGAAGTCAGGTTCTGGAGGAGTGAAATTCAATGCATCACCAGGCAGACCTTCTGGTCTCCGAGTGCCTGCAAGGAAATCAAAGCACACATCTAAACAACTGCTTACATAATTCTATGTGCATATGCCACAGGCTCCCATCTTATTACAGATATAAGAAGTGTTGTATTTAAAAATCAGCAATTGTACAGGTTAATCTGTTGCTCTCTTCTTCTGTGGTATCAGTCTAGGATAACGCCAGAGGCTTATTGTAATAACTTTGCATTTACACTGAAGACTACATTTCCTCAACATTATTTGTACCAGTCACACTCTTTACATACTACATATATATATATATGAGAAGGCATAGTCTACAAATCCTAGTATCCTTAGCAAAATTTAGTAATGTCAAAGATGATGTACCAGCCTGCAAGGCCTTGCTACAGCCAACAGCCACTGCCTGCATTCACTTAGTGGATTTATAGCATCCTATTTTTCACAAACAATAGCCTGTAGAGACAAACCCACATTAACGGTTACTGCCATTAAATGGCTAGTGGGACAGCATGATCATCAGTGCTGAAGTCTGGTGGACAAGTTGAGAATTTGGTCAAAGTTTTGGCTCCAAAATAAGACCAAAGGCATTCACACTGTTTGTATCACAGTAGCATTCTGTGCCTTGCAATGCTGGAACAGGGAAACAAGGGAAGAGCAATGTAATGAACTCATAGAAATTGCTAAAAGCTGCCTCTGTCACAGTTCTTGCATTTTAAGAGGAGGTGAATCAAAACCTGATATTATTTTTCCACAACTAGAAGACTAAGTTTTACAGAATCTCAAAATACTCACTAATTTAAAAAACTGCAGAGCTATCACTATATTCAAACTTGACACCCTAAGCAAAAGCTCTGGAAGAAAGATTAGAAGTAGCTACTCTCTAATTAGCAGCATATGATCTCACAGCTATAGCTCAAACCTATAATCTCTGGGATTTCTCATCCTTAAAACAGACATCCATACACTAAACACACTGTTGTAATACCTCACTAGTTATCATTCCATTCTTGGTGCCAGGAAAAAAAAAAGCTACCCCAAACCAACAAAACCACCAGAAGTAGCAATGAAGGTCTGCATCTGAAGCACAGCTCTAAGTATTCAGCTATGTAATACGGCCTGATTAACTTTTGCTTAGTTTTACTCACTTTAACATATTTATGCAGAACTCTAACTCCAAAAGACTCACAAAGAGAAAGCAAGCTGAATAGCATCATTAAGGGCAGAGAGGAAAAAACTTACACACTTATATGAAAAAATAACCCAGAGAAAGAACGGGAGGAAACCCCCCACACCCTTTAGTTTCATGGGATTCCCTGCCACCTTCTCACTCTCTCCTTTTATTTCTCCCTGTCACTCTTTGAAGATAAAACATTAGGAGAGGTTTTCTTGCTTTTGGAAGTGGCCATTAACAGTTCCATAAGCATTTTATCCAATGCTGCATTAGCACCTACATTAAATTTTACCTTCTTCACTTCATAAGGCATTTAGCATCAGTTCTCCACACACATCTTTTTAGCTGTGAGGCTACACCATTTTACAGAGGATCTAGAGAGCTGGAAAATCTCAGCAATCTGAAAAACTGTCAAAGAATCAGCAACTAAGAGTCCCCTGGGGTTCAAGACAGTCATATATAATCTTATATCTCTCTAAAGAGAGCACAGAGCAGAGTACAATACAACAAACAGCTGGAAAACAGCATCTTGAAAGTGCAGTGGCTATGATCTCTGCATTACAGAAGTAGTAAAATACAGCATATGCCAAAGAAAGATTACTCCTTTGAAAGCTTTGAATCAAATCAGCGATCCCCCAAACAACAGCACACTTGCTTAAGTATTATTAGCTTATGCTACTGTTTTTTATTTGAAGACAAAAATAATATTTAACATTCAAGGATGCAAAACCAATTTATACTGGTTCTAACATAGTGTTGTGGGTTGGTTTTTTTTACCTATAAATAGACATACAACTCACCTTTTAAATTCTTCTGTATACTATTATTCCCCTTTAGGAGCTTGGACCATTTTATTGCTCTTCTAGTGAGTACCACGAGATATCTGGAAAAGAATGCTTCATAGGATGCATAATCAAAGTCTTCCGGCCTTTCAAATCCATATGGATCAACCCTGCAAAATAGAAGAGAGTTCTTGTTAAAATGTTTCTACATACCTACAGCTGGAAAACAAACAAACAAAAAAAAAAAAAACAAAAAAAAAAACAAACAAACAAACAACCAGTAACAAACCACAAAACACATAGATGCAAATATGCTTTAAATAACTTCCAGTTGCTATTTTTCAAAGCACTAAAAACTTTTTCCTCCCAACAAAAGCCTACTTTATATGAATTTAAACATGCACTGTTCAGTCACTTTTACAGATTTCACTACTTCTGGAAGTAAGGAGCTTCTAGACCAAAGGATCCATTTTGTGCAAAACCAACCCACATTATGACCACACGGAAGTCTGGGGGGTATTTTTCTCCACAAGACATACAAACAGTTGAAAAGTATGAAGGTATAGCACAGCAGCTCAAACATGGCTTGAACTCACTGTCCACACTGTCCTGCACAGAAAAATGACAACAAGAAGTGTAAAAAGTTAAAAACTATTTTTAAAAGTGGTAATTTCTGAAATTATCTTTAGGAAAGTATACAGCTTGGAGGAAAAAAAACCAAACCAAAACACAAATCCTTGCGTCAATATACCTTCTGCATACTTTGTATCAAAAATGCTTATTTTACTATCTTTAACAATATGTCAGTGTTAGAGTAGATTATCTCAGGCAGCACAACACTGATGGAGTTTCAGAACCGCAAGTCTGATTTTGTTTTAGCTTTACATACAGCTAGTTCACCTTGCTAAACTAGATTTATGACAACTTCCGGGGATGCTTTACACCTGCCAATTATCACCTCAGTACACAACACCCATCGGCTTCATAAAAGTTAAACAGGCAGAGGAGTCTGTCCCCTCAGAAAATATTGCTAGATGGACATCAGGGCATAACTTCCAAAAACACACTGTCCATTTCATTCACGGAGTAGGAATTTGCCCATGGAGCAGCACTGGCACAGCCTTGGGCAAATTCTGGTTCACGGGATCGTCACGGGTAGTGCAGGATGAATCAGAACAGGAAGAATTAAATATTCAGACCTCAGATTGTTACTATCTAAGCAGCTGTTAGAAAAGTCACCTTTGTATTCACATGCTCAAGTTTGACACAGAAGCCATAGGTGTAAGAAACCACCGAAATTGCCAACACAGGCTTCTCTGAAGAAATGAACATAAGAACACCCAAACTAACCAAACCCAGCACCTCCATGAACACACTGCGGGCAGCAAGTACAAATTAATTTCACGCTCAACTCCATTCCTGAGGTAGAAAGGGAAACCGGGGAGTCAGGAAGTAGGGCTGTGAGGAAGTTACCTTCCCTAACGCGCCCCGGGGCAGCGCAGGTTACCTCCACTGCCCCGCGGTGCCCGTACCTCGGCCGGTTCCTTACCCCCGGACGCCCCTCAGCCATTTCCCGCCGGGCCAGGCCGTTACCTGCCGCGGCTGCCTCCTCACACCCCCAAGCGCTCTGGGAGGAACACACCTCGCCCCCGCCGGGTTAACCGGCTCCAAGTTCCCCCCCCACCACCACAGCTCCTCTCGCCCCAGCACTTCGTCTTTCTCGGCAAGATACCAGCAGGGCAAAAGGCTATTTTAAGGCACCACCCGAGATCCCCGCATGGCGCTGAGAGGCACCGCT